GCACCTGGAGAAATTTACCTGAGTTCAGCTTTACTTTTTCAGAGGTGGATTTATTTTTTCTTGTTTTCTTACAAAGTCAAGAATGAGATTCAGATCAATAATCCATTTCACTTTCTTTAGCAGCTAAACTTCTCTGTACTCACTATGCTGGGCTTTAGTAACTTGAAACGCGGAGGGTGAGGGACCAGGGGAAAAGTCTCAGAAAGCTCCTAACTTTACACTTGTGGCTATAGTTGCCTTAAGTGAATAGCTCAATGAATTATTGAGCGGTTTGCTTAGGGATTTAGTAGGGGAACAACTGGACAAAATAACGACCTGCCACCTCAAAAGAAGGTAGAGCCACTCGTGCAACTTTTCTTAAGAATAAATTAAGATTTGTAACCAGTTATACCTTACCTATGGATTTGTTTTAAACTAAAATTTAAACCAACTGGGCTGAAATTTACTACCACTTGTAAGTAGTGTTTAAATTTCTAAACCCAAACAAATTTAGAGAAAAACTTCCAGAATTACAGATGCTGTGCTAATTCTATGCTAACCTCTCCCTAAACTTAAAAGGCAAAAGGAGCAAAAAGAAGTCAGGAGTTAAACAAATACCATTCCTTACACTAGAACTCACCCAAGCTCTGATGCTTTATGCTTTTTCTCATTCACAAGAACACTTAAAATGTTCAGATAACTTAGTACTAAGTAATTGCCATTAAAATATTTAAGGTGTTAAGTAAGTGCATCTGTCGCATTTGTAATTAGGAGTGAAGTAACAGTTTCTAAAGTTAGTTAGAATCTACAGCCACAGCAGGTTTAAGAGAGACCTTCTTAGGGACAATAAACCCTGGAGGAGTTATCACTGCAGGGGCTCTCGTGTCAGAAAAATAGATATAGCATTAATATGCTCACAAGTCACAAAGTATTTGGGTACTGGAAGGACACATTTATAATGATATATGATCCTCTCTAACACATAATATAAACAGCTAAGTATACTTTCTAAAATAAAATATCGGATTACATTTTTTGTTTCAAATACATTGATACCTATCAGCCCTTCTAAGGAATTGTTGCCAAATCCAGATTAAACTCTTAGCAATTCCCTTCAGGTAACGCAAAATCAAAATGAGGCACTGCTTCCACAGCTACATGCAATACTCACTGTTGTTGCATCACATAAAAAGATTTAAGTACATGCTAGTGAGCATGACTTTGAAATTTCCTTTATTGGCTTCTTTAGGTGCTTGCCTGAGATTTAAAGAGACAAAAAAAGTCTTACTTTTAGTCAGGAATTATTAGAGCTATTTGATTCAAACAAACTACACAGTGACATGCAAGCTTCTGATAACCCTCATGTTGCACTGATTTTATGTTAAGAGTCAGTCACCAAATTAACAGACTTCAAACTGCAATAACCTGAATTTTCAGCTTAGCTTTTCTCTGATTTTCTTCCCTCCCATTTAAACAGGAAGTAAAACTGTGGAAAGTATCCTACAGAGGAACTAACTCACCCTGATCTTTTGTATTAAAATCCTTCTTCTATCAAGACAATGACAGTTACTCTGTGTATTTTAACTGAAGGGCAACTAACGCTACTGTAAAATCAAGCTTCTATGATGGAATCTTTGTCTACAGCAACACTGACTTCATAGTCAGGTAACTTCTGAGGTAAAAGAGGAGTCACATTTTTGGTGTGTAGCCCAACACCTATAACCAAACACGCATCAGGATAAAGATTCATGATGTGAAACAGCTGAGGTTAAAAGTTACTTCAACTATTTCCCCCCCCAGCATAGCTAATACAACTAAAGCTTCCAACACAGAAGGGATATTCTTCAAAAGTAAACTGGAAGGAAACACATCTATTCTTTATTCTTACCTAAAAGAAAAAAACAAATACCCAGCCCAACTCAGGATTGATGTTGAAGGTGGGCTGAACTAAATAAAATAATTATATTCCCCCAGTGTACCACACGGGTAGAAAGCACAGTGGCCTCAGACCATTTCCAAGTTTGCAACAGCTTGTAGCAAAGGGAGACCAGAGTTCTGCCTGTTGTTTCAAGTTTCTTCAACTCTCAACAGGTACGGAGCTGGATCTGACCTACGGGCAAAACTGAACAGTTGTTTCTGAACACATTTATGCCTTGAATATTCTATTCATACAATGCTAAAAAAATCATCTGTCTAAATTAAAGATTTTTCATGTTGATGGTATTAACAGAATGATTTCTTCCATAAGAGAAAAGTACTAGTTTTCAAGTATACTGACTATGAAAATATTAACATGAATTCATTAAAAGGCTTCAGTAATTTGACAGTAGATTTAGCATGAATGCTGACATGTTTTAACAAAGTGCCTAACTAGCAAGAAGATGAATGTTTCACTAGCAGGGAAGTCAAAGCTCTGAATAATTGCAAAAAGGTAAACTTAAGATTGAAGCGTCAAGCATTCTGAGGTTTGGAAATCCATACCCAGAGCTGCCCACATACTCTTAGTATCTAAATCTAGTATTTTTTAGTTCAGCCTTAAAGTATACAATTAAGGCATTTCTCTCCATCACAGGAGACCCATCTCATTTTTTAAGAAGACCAAACTGTACTCTCTGAATGTTTAAGTATGCAAAACTTCATGTTCAGCTTCAAGCTCTATTTGCCTCATATCATCCAAAAGTTATTATGAATAAGCTTCACAGAGAGGTAGAAAAAATCCTGAAATAAGGAAAATCCAGGTTCAGTGCCAGGCTCCCGAGACCATCGCATTTAAAACATTGTAGGAAATCAGTCAGCAGGGCTTGGTTTCCTTTCCAAATCTCCTACTGAGAGAGAGGCAGGGTGCAGGGGATTAAAAAACCAAAAAACACCACCCTCCCAACTCTTGTTTTTGTCTCTATACAGATTCACAATTCCTTTAGACTACAGCTCTTCCTTCTACTTCACATATGCATCCAGATTTTTTCTTTTTCTCTCTGCTGCTTGGGAACCACGAAAAAAGACATTTCAGTACAAAAGGAAAGGGTGTCTTTGTTTTCATTACTAGTGTCCTAGAAGCAGCATCATCCCCAGCAGGAAGTAATTGCCAGTCAATGCTTAATGTCATTCGTCCTCAAGGAATCATCTTATCTACTGCATGACCAGTGTAAATAAAACCTTCAGCTAATTTTGTCTCTTAACAATCTTCTCTTCAGCTTCCCCTTTAACCCTGTGTGTATGCGTTCATGTGTGGGGTGGCAGGGGGAGTGGGAGTGGGGTATAGCAAAAAGAAGTTACGTCAACTGCATTGGATATAAGTAGGTTTTCATGGTGGTATGAAACCAGCGCCTGCAAAAACTGGCAATTTCACAATGTTTAAAAGTCCTTGTTCCAGACTCGAAGGCACTAAAAGTTACCCAATAAGTATTTACCAGTATAAAAGTTAAACATTCCAGGTTTCTGGCAACAAGTTAGTAAATTTAAATCATAATTTAAAATTAAGTCCAAGGAACCTTTACTGTGAATTTCACATCAAGGAAATTAGTAATTTTATCATGTCCTAATAGTCAATACACCTGTTTATAAATAACTGCTAGATCATTTACCTACTCAAATTCTTAAGACACAGAAATAAAAATGAGGAAATAGTTCAGTTTAGACTCATCACACTAGACTCACTCACACTATACTCATTACCTACATACATTCTACATGCTAATTTTGATAGCTGAACCCTTTCAAGAGGTTCCCCCCCCCGCCCCCTGATAATCCTTTATGTGATTAAATTAAAAAAAACCACTTCTACAAAATCTAGGGAGAACAGGAGTTTATTGAGTTCTACCTGTCTGAAAAGTGCTGGTGAAGAGTTGCCATTTCATGCTTTGTCTATATAGGTAAGTCGAAAGAGAAATTGTTGCAAAAATCAGCTCATTTGAAAACTGAGTGTTTCTCCAGAACTTCTTACCATTCCTAAGTGAACACAAATGTGAAAATTTTTTTACATGAAGCTAGTCCTTTTCATTTTCAGATGCAACATCTACACTTTAAGTTCCCTCAGGACTATTAAAATACTTTCAGGCAGTATTAATATACAGAGAAGCAATTAGTCGTATCTTCAAGAACCCAGGTATCCCAGCTCTAAAAGTGCATGATTTAAAACATTAGTAATGGAATATTTTGGAAGAACATTCCTATTCAGTATTAATGCATGCTATTATTACAAAAGTACCCATTGCATATTGTAAGGAACAACAATTTTTCTTTTGTAGACAACAAAAAAGCATGCTGAATGGTATCAGATCAGTATAAATCTATTTTTAATGAGGTTCAACACACTGTTCAAGTCCCATTAAGAGCAGCTTCCTGCAGCTGTGCACCAGTGTGAGCTTGCACATGTTAAAAAAGTTTTGCACTAATGTGGCTTAGGCTGGCCTCAAATATTTTCAAAGCAGGGCATTGAGACTGGATCTTGAATTTCAGCAATCATTCATTTAATTTGTTTAAATTAAATATTAAAAGCCACTGTAAGAATTAGGCATAAAACCACGTTAAGTAACAAATTCAGGCGCAACTAGCAAAACATACAGGTATTTACACAAATGTTGATTTGCTGTGGTCTTTAATATTGAGAAGACATCAGAATGTGGACCATGTGCTCAAAAAAACCAAGACCAAAACAAACAAACAAAAACCCTGGGAGGAGTAACATAAATCCCATGTTGGCATGACTGCAGAAGTTATAACCCAATATAATGGGTCAGCTTGGTTTCATGTGAGGAGCTAGTCTATTTGTATTCATTTTAGCAACTGGATTAATAAAAATATTTAAGTTAAACTACAAGTAATCCACTCCAAGCCAACAGGATATTTCTATAAAGCAGCTGATGACACCGATTTTCTAAATGGATGATGAGGAAATACACAGAAAATCCAAGATGAAAGAGCAGATGAAGATGTGAAGCATGTTAAAATGATGCAACGAAACAGAGTATATAAATTAAACAGGAATGTTTAATGAAGACAATCCTTTTTTTCTTTTTTTTTTAAACAGAGGTTCTCCAGGAAATTTTTAATTGGAAAATGAAAGCCTATTCCCATGGTAGTGAGGCCATTTCTTTCAAGCAGCTCTGTTGTACAACTGTTACCAAGACCCTAAACAATTTAAATTGTTGTATATTGATATTTCTGAACTAAAAAGTTTTAAAATATTGTATAGATTTTATTTGTGCTCCACATATCGCAAGCAATTAACAACACGAAGAAAGATTCAATTCCTCAGCTAGAATACCAAACTCTATATCAAGTATTACATGTACACAATACTTGCACAGTGACAAGCACAAGAAAGTACTAGTTGAGCACTTACTTTCAGAACTCCATACCAACTCTTAAATGCCATTTCAATTCTCCCACACCACCCAGTCTACAATTTAAGGCATCTCCAAACAGCCATCCATCCACCCACCCACTCCCTTACACACAATTTACGTTGGAGGTGTTTACTCTTACAAAAAAATCACTATGTCAGTCAGGTACCATTTATTATTTATCCCTATAACTGTGTCAGCATTGAGATATGACAGTTAAACCAGTGTTAAATCAATACAATATTTACATAGCACAGCACATTAAGCTTGAGACACTCACTTGGGGGATAAAACCACATTTTAGAACAGGACAAAGGTCACCATTAATATGTGTTTGAAAACAGCTATTTACAGGTCCCTATGACATAACTATAGTCTGTACACTGTTCCAATGGGGCAGGCAGAAGCAGGATAGGCATTTATTTTGAGGAGTTTTAAACATACGAGTTGGAAGCATATTATTATGCTACCCTGAATGCCATAAACCACCTTAACATTCTCCAAGGTGGTCTCATATCCTAGAATGGCATGTCCAGCTGATACAAAACAGACAACACAATGTTTACTTTGTGGAGAATTTTTTACTCCTGCTATTCAGTCATCTGAACTTTGAAGGCAATTCGTCCCAGAAACTTGTCACGATCATCTTCATTTTTTAAATTGGGTGAGCCCAGGATCTTACACTCAATTGCTATTTCTTCTTTGGTACTGTTGGAGTTAATTGCTAGTTGAACAGCCACTAGAGGCTGTAAATAGTGAGCCTAGTAAACAGAAAGATGGGGGAAATATTTGAGATACCAGATAAGTTAGCATTTAAATTAACATTTAATCCATCAGAACAGTTAAGAAAAAAGCTAATTAAGAACCCAACTTTTCAAAGCCCAATCTGACTCAGGTAAGTCAGGTATACATTCTTCATACTATTTCTTAATTAATACATTCAACATAATTTAAGTCACAGACAGTATCTTCAAGAGGCATATAACTTTACTGCTTTCTATTACATTGGGTCCAATTTTTCTAGAAACCTCTACTTGAAACAGCCTCCGAAACGATAGTCTTCCTTCCTATCCATTCCATTGTCTCTTCTGTTTGTTTTTTTCTTTTTTTTTTTTAATCTGCTACAGAACATAACTTTTTTACCACACTGTGGTATACTATGGATCTAATAGATTTATATTTAAAAAGTACTTCTATCTTCAATGGTGAACAGTGAAGATGTTTATTAGACTAAGTAACTTGGTCAATGAGAGGCAATGTAATTTTATATTTGATAGAAGGTACAGATTTTCTGTATGTAGTTATCACAGTTGATGCAAGAAAAGAAAAAAATAACTAAATTCAAGTTTGAAAAGAAATTGGAGTTTTAACTCTACATATTCTGTGTCCAAGTAGTGAGCTTTGAGTTTTTTTAAAACTTAAGTGTTCTTCAATTAGATAAATAAAATTTATGTCAGAATACAATGAGGATAGATGGAACAAGCAAAGAAAAACAAAGATAAGAAAATAAATTAAAAAAAAAAAAAAACAAAAACCCCAACCCACTTCTATCTGCTACCTTGAAGTCCTTCTTCATAAAACAGAGCAAATAGAAAACACGACCGCAGAGCCACATAGGAATATAATCAACAATACCATAATGAATTATAAACTTAATATCCTATACATAAACCCCAAGGATTAATTAGAAATTGTATTGTAATCCAAAGAACCAGTTTACTTTTCCTGCCTTTCCCTGCATTCAAAAAGATTCCAAAAGGTATCATTGACCAAAAAGCAGCAGCCGCCCTTAATACTGCTAGTATACAGCCTCTTCTTCATTAGGACAATGCGTAGTTTATTTCCTTGTCTGCTAAAGCACATCTCTAATCTCATCAAGCACTGTGAAATTTCTGCATATGTAATATACGTTATGAGTACCTCATTACAAAGTTCAAACTTCAGAATCAATCTGATATTAGTAATTGTAAACGTAAACAGAAACAAAACATTTACAAAATGAAGACCATCATTAAGGCATACTTACATGCAAGCTTTTCCCATAGTATGGAAAGTACATTAAGTCAATCAAGCCTTCAGGAGGAAAATAATTTATCTCAACCATGCCTTCTTCCTGTGATTGGAGATAACAACAAAATTAAAAGTTAACATCTGCTTGCACAAAAATGAATACAAAATTAGAATTACAACCCAATGATAAAGTGCAAGATCCCTAAAAAAAGGCAACTGAGCTACAAACTCTTAGAATAACTTCCAAAGTAGATTTATTTTTGGCAAACAGTTACATGCTGCACACATGAGTAATCAAGTCAAGACAGCTTGCCTTCATGTTTCCCTTACGAGTCAAAGAAAAGAGGACGGGGGGAGAGGATATTCATTGCAATGAATAATTTAACAACAACCGAAAAAAAACCATATATAAGCTAACATTCCCAGTATCCACAAGCAAGCCTGTATATTTTGGTGAAGCAACAGCACATCCGTATTTAAGTTAAAGTTAAAAATGAATTTCTGTTTAAAGCCAGGTTTTTAAGCCTCTCAAATTTGGAACACTACAACCCTTCACAAAGAACAATAGCCCCCTCCCTGCAATGGTGTACTACTCCTAACATCTGTTCAGCTACCCTTGGAATACAGGCTACCTAAAAGGAAACCCAAGTTTAAAATGGTAATGTTACTAGAGTTTCTGTGTGTCATCACCACCTTAGAGGAATAATATACATATGCATGCCTTATCGCTAGACTTTCCCCTATAATCCCAAATCTTGTAATAAGAAGCAGCTACCTACAAAGCTGCTGCCTAATTTCTGACTAAGGAGTTACCCAATCAGTAAGATATACAAAATATGTATATATGATTGAGCTATCCCAGACACAGGCTGTCAGTATAGTGATACACAGACACAACTCCCTATATACAATATTTCTCAGGATTGTGTATCCTGGCAGGATGTCAAACTACTGCAAGTTCAAACTAGTAGGAAATGCCCACATCTAACATGACTTTCTGTAATAAGGTAAACATATTACCATGATAAAGGGAAATGCCACTAAAACAACCCCCTCAAAATGCTAAACATATCTTCAGAACATCACTGCTTGTTCAGTGTAATTCACAAGTTCAAAGTACATTAGTAACTTTCATTGTTTCTTCTATACTACCATACACAACAGCTGCAATTTTAAAAAGATACACTACAAAGTTCAGAAGGCAACTGCAATAACAGAACTAAGCAAAAGAGGAACACAAACATCAAAAAATAGTAAAGAATAAACCACAGCTCAAGAATACCTTCTCCTCGCCTCCTCAAAAGAACATACAATATGTTGTTTAGGATATGGCCACATTCTCCTTCCTTTGCAGTCTAAATTATTGCAATTCTTCAATACATGTTTATTAAGTATTTTGGACCTTGAGCTAGCAAATTTAATTACTAAGTAGAAGTGTGTTGCTTTTCACCATTATTCTTTATTTTATTTAAAGCTCATGCAGCTGAAAATACTAATTTTTCAAATATATTTCTGAAATGATGTTTTAAAAAGCAGAATACAGAATAACATAAGAAAGATAAATAGGAGTAGAGCTTTCTGGAGCAGCTAAACACAAGGCATGCATGCAGTCATAAATATATACGCATTAGGCTATCAATGGAATAGCAGAGAGGTTCTGGGACGTGCAACTCCCTGTCTCATGCAACTGCTGTGGGGTTTGGGGTTTTCGTTAATAATTAATTAATCCTAATTAATATCCCTACACAATTTCAAAAAAACCCCAACACCTTAACAAGCTGCATTTGCTGAAGAGCTTCAAGAATAAGTCCATTAGCGAGTGTCACTTTTTCTTCTTACCATTTACTATTTCCACAAAGAGTTGCAGGCAGTCAGCAAATCTAAAAATCAGACCACTTAGCTGGACAAATAAATTTCCACCTCACTTACTGGGTCTTTATTAAGACTGTGTCTTAGAAAAAATAATTTTACAGATGTTAAAATAATGTAAAAAGACCCAAGGAAAGAACTTGGGCAAGACTGGTCTGTAATCATTTGAGAGGAAGAAATGGTATCATTGCACAAGATAAAGAGCAGTATCCATTAGTAGAAACTGTAAAACACCTAAGATTTCTGTCACAAAAAGCAAGGTAACTCAGATGCTGAGTATGTTGACAATAGCAAGGCATGTAGTGTCATTCATATAGCCATTCTTTATTCTTGTAAACTGGAAAGCAATACCTAATACAAAGTCAAGATGGTCGCTAAACAGCAGAAATATATATATTTTGGAATTAAGGCTATTCTTCTTTCCTGTAGTTAAAAAAAAAAAATCATGCATCAAATCTACCAGTTTTCAGTAAAGGCAGTTTTAACTTGAAAGAATACTGCTGCAAGATGTTCCAGCACACATGAAATTGTGCACCTCCAGCCCAAAACTAAAGACCTAAAATGCTGATCTTCAAACTTCTTGGAAACACAATCCTTTTTTGGCTTGTTTCTCTTTGTGGAGATCCTCAAGACTATAGCAAGTCAGTTCCTCCAGGGTACAGGTGGAGGAACCAGCTGTAATTAGCGTCTGACACTGCAAACACCCACTTCCTTAATCTACAAAAATTACAGTGATGACAGCTACCACTATGTAGGGGCAAAAGGGGGAGCATCCCCAACTATCGAAGTGTGCTGACTTTGAAATCACAATCTATCTAAAATTTTTCTATTTAAAAAAAATCCCATAGGAAAAGTGCAGGGAGAAGAAAGAAGAATCGCCTCACAGGAGAATGCCTGAAGAACATAAATTTCAAAGTGAAAAACTTAAATGACGGTTCAGGTGGCAAAGACTGGCAGGATGTGCAGACAGAAGCTATTAACCTTATTTTGTATTTGAGAGACTTGTCCTCTTAATTAAAAAAAAAAATTATTTTTTTTTTCCATTTAAAAGTCATATTGTGTTAAGTCCAGGTAGACACTTCTCCAAATTGCTCTCAATACATGTAAAACTCTAACTATAAAGAACAAGAAATATTTAAAAACATAGATGAAGGGGAAAGAAAAATTGGTAAACAGCAAATCTACAGGCTAAAAAAAAAAAACCAACAAGAGAAGAGAACATGATAGCAGGATTTCCACTCTACTCAATTAAATCACCTTTTAAGCAAAATCCATCTTTGCACTCAGATGTTAAAGATTTCTGATGTAAAATTTAAAATTACTAGTAAGTTGCATTTGTGCTATGAACTGCACAAATATGCTTATATATTCTATGAAGCTAATACCAGCGCGGGGTTTATTTTCAGAAATGCGTGTCACCTGGATTAAACTTTGCAGTACACCCTGAATTCTTTTAATCCACATTTGCTGACAGCAATATAGAAGGAAAAAAAAAACCCCAAAACACTGCAACAGAAAACATCAGTTACTTAAAGACTAGGTAAACACCCTGAATAACAGAAGCAATAGAGAAGTACAAATAACCACTACACTTCAACTTCTGTTATGAGCCAGTATTTAGGGAACATTCAAATACAGTAGCAGATGCAATGAGATTATAAATTCATTTGCAAAATGCACAAAAGCCTGTTGACTATCCTTCTGCACCTTTCCAGCGTGCACACAAGAGGGTCACAATTCACATCCTTGCATCAACAAGATCCAGAAGAGCCACAAGAATATTATTTCCTGGTAAGCATTCACCTTATCCACTACAGAAGAAGAAGACACCATTACACAGCACTCTTATCCTAAAGAGTCAAAGAACTAAAAACGGAATTGGAAACAAGGCCTCATAAGCTCATGTAAAGAACAGCGTAATCCTTTAAGTTTAAAGGAAGAGTTTCGATAAGCAAGGGGCATAACAGAAAGAAGGAGAAGTTCTGTAAAAATGAAGCATTGACACAAGGAGAAAATGAAAGTTGTGGACACTGATTCTGCACTTTGTTTTCTACAGAGAAGGATAAATTGTAACCAATACTTAAGCTTTCCTAAGCAGGTAAATCATCATGAGCTAGGACAAGAATAGGCTAATTTGAGATAAAATAGATGCATTCAAAGTGGCAAAGCGTGACAAATATTTTCCCTGGAAGTCACTAAAGAACTAAGAAGGTTAATAATCTTAAAATTACACCACACTTGTGTAGATCAGAGAAATTCTACCTGGATATGATAAAAAGCACTACTTCATACTTAAAGAAAGAGGATGCAAGAAAATACATACTATAACATACAATACAATTTATTTGTAAGTATCTCAAAGGGTAAAATAATAGCAAAAAACCCCACCATGATCAACCAAGTGGTTATCAAACTTATTCTTTTGCTAGTGAAATCAGCTAAGAGGATAAGAAAAAGCATAGTCTGTGATTTGCTTAATATAGCTTTTACCACTGTCTCATAGAGCATCCATATAAGAAAGCTGAAGAAACACAGTCATCGTAAAATAGGATTACCATCTATATTTTATAAATCACTTGAACATTAGTTCTCAACACCTCACAAGGCATTTCAGGTGGAAATGAAGATGACTGTCCTGGACTATTCAGTGTTTTCAGTAAGGACTTGCAAGATGTAGAAGGAAGTTCATTCATTGATGGCACCAAGCTGTAAATAGTTCAAAACACTTCAGAGAACTCGATCCCGTTAAAATGATCACGAAAAATTACGGGGGGGGGGCCAAAAATGGCAACATGAAATTCAAAGCTCTGAACTTCACGAAATCACATATACAAATACAGACTGGGAAATAACCATATACAAATACAGACTGGGAAATAACCAAAAGAAAGATCTAAGTAGTGAAATGACTCAATGTATTACAAACAGCAAATTCATCTCGAGAGACATTATTACTTCCAATGTGATGACAGAGGGAAAAATTCTGTCATTAAGAATACCTCAGCTAGAGGCAAACTTCTGTGCAGTTTGGGATAACACATTATGAAAAATGGTAAACTAGAGAAGCCAAAGAAGAAAGAGTACTAGTAGAAGTAGAAGGAACTTAATTGCTTTATTCTAAAGAAACAAATAATTCCTCCAACAGAACAACATTTTTTAAGAATGGACACAAGGAAATCAGTCTCAAATAAGAGAAGGAATCACCTTTACTTGCAACAGACTGTCATGGGGAGATCAAAACTTTCAAAGACTCCACAAAAATCAAGTATTAAAATTTATGCCTACCACAGGTACCTAGGATGAAGGCAGGAACACTTACAGTATTTGTCTCATTCATTGCGGAAATTTCCTAGCCTACATTTTTATCAATCACCTCAAGCTAAAAGCCATGACTCCATCCCTTGCTCAAACTACTAACTTACCAACGCTTTCACTGCTCCCCAAGCAGTCTAGGAAAAATATGCAGAAATCAAAGTAATTATTATAGTTGCCATAAAACATTCTGGGTAAATCCATTGGTACACAACAAATATGCATAGATTAGCCGTTACTATAAGTAGTTTATACTTGATTTGAAGGCAACTTTTACTTGAACAGTAACATTAGTTTCCACACTGTGTCTTACCCATCATTTATAAAATTGTCTAAGGTGCACTTGCAGCATGGAGAAAAAATAAAAATATAAGTTATGAAATGGGAAAACAAAATACAACTCACAATAAATAAATAAATAAATATGACCACAAATTACATGTATGCATTTTCCTCAACTCTAAAGCAAGTCAGGTAGCTCAAATACCTCTAAAGATGAACGAATAACAACAAAAAAGTATTTTTATAAGTACACTGAAGAAATTAAATACACTAAAACTAAACTGGACATACAGTAAGATGAAAACAAGAAAAAAAAGTACAAAGTCTAACAAGAAAGGAAGAGAGTGAAATAAGTGTTCTGACACAGTATATTACTTCACTTTTCATCCTAATCACAAGGAAAATTAACTACACACTTATTTCTTACATTCAGAACTGACCTTAGATGTACAGTGTATACGTGGTTCCCCTTCAGGCTTTAATCCAATTATCTAAAGGAAAGTAAGTTAAAATATTTATAGATTTTCTTCCCCTTTCCAGTGTTACAGACTGAATTTGAACTTTCCCCCCACTTAATATGACAGAGTTCACAGAGCAAATCTATCTAGTGTCATCTTTATATGAAGCACAATTTTAGACTAGGACTAAAATTTAAAGCATTGTCAAGTTAAAGTGCAAATAGTTACAGTGGCCACAGAAAGGACTATTTTCTTATTTTACATTCAGCATGTAACATTAATGGCTCAAACCCGTTAGCAGGTGAAGTAATATATAACATCACTGAAAAGTCAAATACTTATTCACTCAGTAAAGTTTTCATCACCTTACGTAGTTTAGGAGTTACAGAATGTATGACATTCTAATCACATTTCTAGAACAGAGATATGAAGTAAAACACACTTTACTTGCACAGTGGTTTAGAATCTGTTACATAGAACAGTAAGCAAAACCAAAGAGCACTATACTCCTTAAAACAGGGTTTTCAGATACTTGATGCAAGTAATCAAAGCCAATACTTACAAGTATTAGAATGTTCAAAAAGCTCACTTCATTTTACTCTCTGAAACACATGAATTGCTAGACATTTCAGTAAAATACACTATTCCAGAAATACAAATATCTTGAGAAGCAAACTGAACATGTATTTCAGTCCTTTCCTACAATCATTTTTCATACAGTGGTAGTTGGGAGCGCTTATACTAAGAATTAAAAAATCAGTAGGCACTTACTCTGTTCATTTTCACAAGCACGCAAGGAGTTCCTTTAGAATAGCCAAAGGTCTTATCTTCCTTTCCAGAGCATTGCCCAAGCTCAGAGAGGTTAAATCGACATGCCTTTTTAACAGCAACATCATTCTGATCAAAAATCCTTCCTGGTGTACAGTTTATGTTTTGGGATTGCTTTGAATCATCATATGCTATGAAACAGAAATAGCTTGTAAATCAATGGTATAAAGCATACAAGTAGCCAAAAACTGCAGAAGCCTTTATAAACATCTAATTTATAGTTGTTACTTGTTTAGGAGTTTTCTCAAAGGACTATTTTCAGAGCACTAAGTCTCTTATATCCATCTTAAACACTTTTTCAAAGCCTATCAAGAAGTGGCATTATACTCGAATGAAAGAACAAAAAGAGTATTACAAAAGAAATAATGTTCTCCTGCTTATCGAAATGTGTCAATAATCGCAACTTCATTAATTTCTGTACATAAACTAATTCTAAGTTAATTATGTATTCTAAACTAATAATGTATTAAAATATAAACCATTCAAGGTTCTACCTGGAAACTAAACCAGTTTTCCCTTTGCAGGTGTTTCTTTTATAAACACACAGGAAAACTTCAAGTATTTCAATAATTAAATTGCCTCTACATTTACATCAGGTAGTACAACTGACGTTATACTAACATCCGAAGTTGTTTCTCACTTTCTTGTGTTTCACAAGTACACAGATCACACTGTCACAAACACTCACCTATTCACATTTAACACGTTTTGTGGTTTTGTCCCCCTCCCTTACACCCAGCTCCCAGCTAAGCATAAACAAAGTAAAATGGAAAAAGGGTAAGTTTATCCTCAATGCAAGAGTCCTGCACTGAACTGCAGGAGAGGCAGGTAATCATGAAACGTAGCATTCCTCCCAGGAACCTTTGGCAGAGCTTTGAAAGAAAAGCCTGCTCATAGAAGCTTTTAGTAGGCACCAAAACTATGAATCCAGATAGATTCAAGTATAGCTTGTGTAGCTAACAAAGCAACTCATGCACACAGGTGACATTTTACAGCACCTCCTCAATTCTGACTTACAACTTTTGAGGGGTTAAACTTAGTAATATTTTAAATTGATTTCTGTATTTTTAGCTTAAGTGTACATACAGGCATATATATAAAATAATGTATGACTTAAACTAGTGATTTTGCATCCTTCAGTCTTGTCCTGTGTTACCTTTTGCCATGTTCTCAGTTCAATGTTTTAATATTTCTGCCCGTAAGAACTGAGTATCAGGGTGAAAATGAATAAATTGCAATTAATTTAATCTTTGTGTGCCTCATTTTTTAAATAGGCAAACGCTCAAGTTCTTAAGATGAAAGGATTCTCACTCAGTTACCAAGCCATTTAGATGAAGACTGATCAGTTAAGTCTTGATAAGCTTTGCCTCCAAATACATGACCTATGTAATTTTACACTGAATTCTTTTGGCATATGTAATTTCTACATCTTGTAGTACTTAAACAACCATGTCAACAAAACACTGGACTAGGACCTGAAACACTCTATTATGTACTCCACTATTCCTCATGCTCAGGCTCCCTGTCCAGTACAGGTACTGATACTTACCTTCTTCTGTAAAGTACATGCTTTAATAACATGCATGTCTAGAGTAAGCCTGAACTTGCATCAGTTTTCATTAACAATTGTAACTACGAGCAAAGAAGGAAACTAAGGTACTCAACATTAAGACTCCTGAATTACTTGGGCAGTTGTAAGCAACTTACTTACATTCAAGAAATTTTCTAAGTGTAGAAACATATTCTGCATATGACTGGGTGTCACTCTTGTTAAAGTAAAATTCCAATGCAGTGTCTGGCTTTGGTGAAATCATAAGTCCTTAAAAAGAAAAAGTGCAAGTAAAGAACTAAACTCCTACACCACTCTAACCTACACAAAAATCATATCCATAAATTGGAAAATATCTATCTGTAAAGAAACATCAATGTTACCCCTATATTTCACAGTACTGGAATGTAGTTTGTGTTTGAAGTCAGTTATCAAAATCAACATTACATGAATTAATACTTAAATTCAATCCAATGTATAATTGCAATTTACAAACCAAACCCAACTGATTAGGAATAGCAAAATCAGCAACTTAATCACTTTCAATCAAAGAATTTTAGTGATTCACACCCCACTTTCCATATTCAGCAAATTAAACTTAAAAAATAATTGAAAAAATACCCAAAACCACACCCATAAAGCCTCCAGTTAAAGCTATGCTTCAAAGCTTTAGGCAATATAGAGTGAAGCTATGATTGTATTAATCTCATAGAAACCCACAAGAAACAAAGTATTTTTAAAAACTTTATAATGCATAAAGATGGCTTGAAAGATTTCCCAATCAAAACAGGCAAGCCAAGTTAGTTGTTAGTCCTCTCCTCCTTCTCCTCAAACAGAAAGTTTAGATGTCATCTGTTTCATGGAGAATACAAGAAACTTTATCAAGCCACTGCACACGTGTCACTCGAAGGGGTACACCTTAGTCAGGCTGTGGTAACTACGACACTCTCGAGCTGCCTCCCAAGCTGCTAGCACCTGACACTGCAGCAGCCAGTGTTCCCCCGTCTGCTGCAGTGGGGGTCTACGGCTGGCTTCGTTCAGCTGCTGGCTGAGGGTACTGGAACAGGAGCAATCTACAGCCAGGGAGCCACGACTGGCAGGAGAAACAAGGACATGGATTACCGAACGCTGAAGTCCAGCTTTGCGTTGAAAGATGAAAAAGGCAGACACTGATAGGGAGTTTGGGCCCTTGAGAGAGATGAACTGTCCTTCTTCCCAGGATATGGGTAAAGAAAGGTACAGAGTTAAATCTTAAGGATTTTTTTGTAGCAGGTGAAAGCAAATGGCACGCTCTCTGCTAATAAATACAGCCCGGTACCATCAGGAGTTGTCCCTTACACGGATACCTAATGCTACTATTATTCATCACAGCTTCAGTAGCAGATGAAACAGCACTACATGACCAGATATTGCAGAAGCGATTAAATCTGTTCAAAAAGGGTGTATGGTTGATTGCTTTATTCGCACTACCTTAAGGTAACTCTTATTTAATATAAATAATTAGAACGGATAAAAACCCTGCCGTTGTGATTAACAGATGAGTGTCCGTGCATCTATCTCTTCAAGTATAGCTGAGAACTGACGTTGCAGTTCCAGAAAAGACAAAAAAAAACCCCAAAAACCCTAACCTATTTTTATCAGATTATTTTTTTTCTAAGTTAGAATATTAAAATGGTTTATCAATGTCAAATTTGGCAGAAGGGAAGAAGTTGCAATTATAGCAGCAACTAATTGTACCAGCTTAGGATGCCATGTAGTTTCCTATCCTCTGGCAAAACCAATTAAAACTAGATTCCCAAATGAATAAAATTTAAGGCAGAAAACAAAACTCATCTCCCAAAATTAAAAAATAAAAATAAAATCAGGCCTTCTTTATACAAAATAAACATTTAAGAAGATAAGACTACAGTGGGAAGATAAAGTTGGGTAAGTTATCTAAATGTTGGATTCTTAATACATTACTGTAGTTCACAGTAAGCTTTTGGAAAGCATATAGAAAGTGCAATTAAGCAGCCCAGGTCTATTAAGGATTCACCTATAGAAATGACCAAGCTTCTCATCCGAAGGCAGAAATTATTACAAATACTTTAAATTGGGAAATAATAAAGGTATATACTGGAAATTTATCATAAACATCTTTTAGATTCTAAAAAAACCCAGATATAATTTAATGCTTTTTTACTCCACCTTTTTTGTAGGATTCCCAGTAAATCATAAATTCTCCTTTCTGCATTAGCAGCAGTTAAATTATTTCCAGGCAAGCCACAACTAAATGCTTTAATGACTGACAGTCTATATAAAACTACAAATACCATTTCTGACTGCAAATTACTTTGCATTACAGGCATCTTCTGGCCTCCACACTGAATTGGGATTCAACAAAATACAAGATAATTAGTCACAGGGCTGAAAAATCGCTGAAAGGGTTTTACACACTAAGGGGTTTTGGGGAGAAGAGGTTGTTATTATTTACAGAATTATACTGTAAATGAAGGACTTAGATGCTGTTTTTTCGAAGTGAATGTGACAAAGTAACTAAACTAGTCATCAATGAATGAAACAATAATTTGAAGAGATTTATTGCTTCAGGGGAACTTCAGAAGCATCCTAAGAGGAAGGGACTGCTCCAATTCCAGTGGATCACAGTCTGCCTAGAGACTATGGTGTAAATTCTACAGAAAAAGCTGTTTGAAGGACTGATGCATAGACTGTGAGAGATGCAGGATTTTGGCTCTTCTCGAGGAACAGAATTAGCAGCCTCAACATAGAATCACATCTAGGATTGTAACAGAGATTACATTATCCTACAGTTCCAAGGGGGATTTAAAAAAAAGGTTTTGAAATCATCTGGATTTGATTGATAGTATTTTATTCCAGCATACAATGCAAGTCAAACATCAATTATAAAATAAATCAACTATGAGATTTCCAAGTATGTTTAACACAAGAGTAAAACCTTTGACCTACGCCATCCACGTTTTGTGTGTAGAATTTTTTTTATAATTTAAAGTTTTACAGCCAGGAACATGACATGTTTCACTGCAATTGAAAAATGACAGAGTTAAACAGAAACATTAAAACAGAAATAACCAATTTTATTAACTTTTATGTATGAGTAATTAAAGACAACGTTAATAAAAAAAATTAATTCAGAAATGTTATCGGAATTCTAAAATTAGAAACTAATTGTGGCATACGTACTTTTTTAAACAAACATCCCTTATGACTTATTTGAAAACAAAGGAAAATTAATACCCTGAACTGCAAGAGCCACAAGAGAAAAAATGTCACTCAAGTCCAGCATTAAGTCACAGCTACCCACAGCTCCATCCACTACCAAGGTTCTGACTACCACAAAGGAAATAGAGAGAAATGGTCAACTAAGCCACCTTCTTTTTTTTCTTTTCCTTCTTTTTTTAAACTAAGCAGGTCTTTTTTTCATCATTATTATTATTATTCTTTCCAGCATTTAGCCCATTCTTAGCTTGAAAAAACAACACAAATCCTCAAGAATCCCTTGTAAGAGGAGGACACTTGCAAGCGAAGCCTGAACACTACATCGAAACAAATTCTGTTCAGAATTCAGAGACATTTATCATGGCCCAATTGCAACTTGCTCACACAAAGATTACTGTTTCATCTTAAGTGTTGATGCAGCTGCAAGGTGCTGGTTAATTTTAAGAGTTTGGAGTTTAAAAAAAAGGAAAAGTTATTTTAAAAAATCATGTGGTCTAGCTTCCACCAAAATATTAATATTGCATAGCTACTTAGTTTTGTTGTGTTTTAAACATAAATTTGGTCCCTAAGCCAAGTTATTATAAAGTCTGAGATATCTTATCAAATTTTCAGGTGGCCCAATCACTTAAGTTGCATATACAAATCAAATACTTAGGCATTCTCCAGAAACAGTAACTAGAAAACACTAATCTCTTTGGTGTGGTTAAAGTACACAAAACCACCTTTTAAATCTTTCAGAGTGAAAATCCTTTATTTTTTTCCAATATGAAGATACACCAAAATAGAGCTTATAGTGACAGATTTTTGTGATGTATTTAAACCAGTCTTTAAAAAAAAAAAATTAAAAAATAAAAAAGAAGGGAAAAATAAAAAGAAAAAAAAGAAAAAAGACAACCACCTTAATATTCATTTTTATTTGTGCAGGGGTTTTTTTTTCCTGTCACATATAGCTCCTTGAACCAGCCAACAGTGGGACTGGGCGGGTATGTACAAAAAGGAAGCAGTAGTTCCAGGAAGCAAGACATCACTTTTAGTGGCAGCTACATGTTATGTGGACTTAGTTTCATCATCAAATGGGACCCTCTCTCTTCAGTGGACCCCAACATAATAGGTCAACAACCCCTGGAACCCACAGACATTCCATGTGGGTTGAAAGCTATCTAATACTGTAATGAAAGCTCTGGAAATGCCTTCGTATCATAGTCCTTGAGCAGATCACACCCATAGTATAGCCTTCCTATACGTTCTTCAAAATATCAAATACTAATCACAGGTGGCCTTCCATCTGATCCAAGAGAACTGGTTTATAGTATCTTTAAAGCAATCTGATTAAATAATAATCCCACTTCTACAGCAGCATGTTGTGTGGATGTGCAGGTAAAAGTGTGGTCTATATACCTAACAAATTCAACTGAAAAGAACTTAGAAAAAAACCAGCAAAAGTTAGCATATACACACAAAAAGCTACTGACTGAATTTATGCTATAAACGTATATAACTAGCCTCACACCAAGTTTTACCTTTGAAACCTGTAAGTAATTGAATAATATTCAGAGTTTCCCATAGGCAGTTCATACTTCAAACAAACTCTTAAATGAAACTTAGCTATTAAACCAGACAGAGGTTTATGGGGAAAAAAAAACCAACACACTGTTACCTGGACTAGAAATCCGGTCACGATATTTTGGTATATCACTGCTCAGTGTCTGAAGCATAACCCACATTGTGAATGTGAAGAGTGCTGCTAGGAAGCCATAAAATACCAGATAGAATAGTAAGATCAAACCTGTAAAGAAAAAAGCTAAAATTACTATTTTCGTTTCAGCTAATTCCATCACCTATTTTGAAAATCAAAATGGGAAATAAGCAATACGTTTGGTTTTGCCCCCCCCATCCCTTGCCACTCCTAATTGTAGTTACAAATCAATATGCCTCTACCATACATATGTATTGCACAATGCAGAACAATACGTGCAAAAACATTTTCTTTATACTTTCTGGCTCTTAAAATTTACAGGGCATTTTGGCATCTCTATTTTTAAGAGAGAAGCATTAAACAACGCTCTTTTAGGCTACATAGGAAAGCTGGCAAAGATGACTAAGCTGTCCATTAGAAAAAAAATAGTTTCACTTGTTTAAGGGAATTATAGTTTTGTATCTGGAAAGGAAGGGGTCATAGGGAAGATGAAAGAACTGAGTGAAAAGATAAAATTATTACACTGGATCCAGAAGAGGTAGGAAGCGATTGGTGCTTTAATAACATAGTTGATACTTGAGAGAACTCCACACAGAGCATTCATTCACATGTGCATCCTGTTGTGAGAGACTTCTCAAGGTGAAAATGCTTTCTGCTGCGTATTTTTAAAAACAAACCAAGCCTTCTATCCAGACTTATCCAAAGTCTTTGCCTAACACATCCACCTGCTTTACCAATCTACCTCGGGGACCCAGCAATGCTCCTGGAATTCACCAATTACATAGATGTTACTAGCTTCAACTTGACAGTTGCATAAGGAGCTCCTCAAAACCTGAGCAAACAGCCTCAAGGAAACAGCCTATTGCGACGCTGTACCTCTCTATCACTTAGCTGCAACAAATCGCTAAGCGAGAACACTACTTAGGAAAACAGCTTGAAAACTTACTGTGATGAAGTGGTTTTATTTTTTTCCCTGTTCTTCCCCCCCGCCCCATTTTTCATTATACATGCACAGACATGCACCCTGAATACACAGATCAGTTGTTTACTGAAAAGACAAGGTAACAGCAGACAGGCCAAAGTTAAAATCTTACTTTAGAAACGATAGGGACTCAGATCAGCTGCAGAGATTTTCAAATAACTTTCTGCCCTTTTTCTCAGAGGTATGATGCATAACCCTCATTTAAAAGCCTTTTAAAACTTGGAACAGCTCAATTATTTTAGTAACTAAGTTTTCAAATAAGGTTTTGTATTCTTGCATTATTTGTTTTTTGACCCTGATGGACCCATGATAGTGTATCTTATTAAAGCAAAAAAATAACAGCATACTGTTTGTTACATTTCCTTGGTTTTGTTTTCAGAAGTTCTGAGAATATGTATTGATGATTACTATTAGATTACCTTTTAAAATTTATGTTTACCTGGAGATAGTTCCCAACTAAAGATGAAGCATATATACTATATGGATGGAAGACTTACTGAAAGACATTTAAGATTCAAAGAGATTGTTTTATTAATCAAGTATACAATACTAACCCAAAAGAAGAACGTGTGATTCTGTTTTAAGACTGAACACTTGAGGACACATGCACAGACATTATCAAAAAGAATGGGATCTATACAACTATTGAGGAATTCAGATGCTTACACAGAGAGCCATCTCCAAAACCTTTCTAATTCAAAACTATAACCGGATGATGACACAAATTAAATTTTTACAAAATATTCTAGCTATAAGGCTGCTATTAGGAAGCCAAAGAGATATAACTCAGGTCAAGAAAAGCATATCAAAACCATTATGCAACACTGACACTTGATTATATGAGAGAATCAAATGCCTATTTTTCACCCTTCCACAGAAAAGGAAAAATCAAAAGCAACAATGACTATACACCAGTGATGTGTACTGTCCACTGGAAGATGACAGAAGGAGGCCTAGCCCCCGGCTCCTGTCCCAGAAACTATGCTTGCATTTTGCACTGAAATACTTTATCGTGTACCACAGCCCCCAGTAATCTATGACTGCTAAAGATGCAAGTACCCGTATTACTTCTCCTGAAAGAATTCAGCATACATAAATTAAAATAATGAGGTGGTTCCCAAATTATCTTTACCATAACGTAAGTTCTCTGCAGCAACCAGCTGAAAGTTACTGGATTTTGGTTTGGTTTTAGTTTTCAGTTTCACATGTTGGGAAAGTTACTTACCAATCTGCAATAATCTGAAAGTGATCAGCTACTTAAAATACATTTAGGAACCACTGAGATGTAAGATACAACCCAGTGACTAGAAGCTAAGTCACAAAGTACGTGAACACAAGAACAAGCTTACTCTATAATGAACAAGACAGCTAGATATCTATTGTAAACTATATCTAAGGCTATTTAGAAGCTCTTTAAGAAGCTGAAAAGAGCATATTAAAACAAACAGCAGAAATCCTAATCAACAAAAGCCATTACGGAAGTTGCATCTGTATTTGGGACACCAGCAATTTGTTTTACCTACAAGCTTACAATTGCTTTAACTGGATCCAAAACAAAACAACGATCTTCTGATTAATACCCAATGTACTTTGGGTATCACAAAAACAAACAAAAAAACGCCCTTACAAAACCTCCGGTCAGCTCTCATTTTGATCCCTACAAGTTAATCAATTATTGAATACACTTTCATCAAGCTGTCTAAAAAGTTTCCATCAAGTGACCAAGACATTCATCAATCAATTCCAACGGAACAGAAAAAAAGTTTTGACATTTACGACAAGACAAGCGCCTTCTGTGGCAATTAGCATAAAAGCAAGAAAGTCAGGGAAATCTTTTTCATTGAGCTATTTCAGAATACATCTGTATTTTAATTTCCAAAAGATGATGCCTAACTTCACCAGGTAAAAAACAAACAAAAAAAATCCCTGCTTACTTGTTTATTACTGATGGGCATAACAGCACCACAGTGGTGCATTTCTAAGCAGACATGGCCCTACATATAGTACTGGTTTGGGCCAATACTACCATAACATCTGCAATACCAGCCTTGGACTTCATTTTGAAGTACCCTGAAGAGCTGATCCAAGCCTGCTGCAACTCCCTCAGTCGAGGCAACGGTGCCTACCCACCTACACAGCCTCCCTACTCCAGCACGGAAGGGGGCTGCTGGGGTCCCCCTCCCCTGCCAAGAGCTGCAGTGGGGCAGAACTGCTACATGTAGGCAGACCCTTGGGGGGCCCTCATGCCCACAGAGGGAACGCCAATACTGGGGAAAATCAGAGGGACCCCAATGTCTAAAACACAGTGATTGACTCCGTGGTGGAGACTGCAGTGGCAACAGTCCCTTATGGAGTCCTCTTCCCTCCCAGCAAAATCATATCCACCGGGGCTGCAGCAGTAACAAGGCTAGAAAGACTGTTTCTATTCACAGCCCTGAAACTCCACTAACCTCCCCCAGTCCAGCAAAGCGCACATGCGCACACACAAAGATTATTTTTAATCTTTATTTTAATATAGCTTGTACATGCACTGCAGAACACTGACCACTAGACTAAACTGCCCCATTTATGCTACTCTGCCACATTAAAAAGAGGCTAGAAACAAACAACAAAAAAACCCTCTGCAACTTCCAACAGCCCCAAACTGAGAAAGTTGCTCTTTGTGAGCCTATTAGTATTAATTATCCTAAGCTAATCACAGTGAACAAGCCATAACCTGTCAAGAAGCTCTGCCAAAATAACTTCACATAACACTGGATTTCTTGTCAGGAAACAAGATGTACCCAAGTAACAGTGGAAAGCTATCCTCCACATTTACTCCAAGGAAAGTACAGCTACCACATCTAACATGCAACTCAATTCAATTGTTGCAGAACATCTTGCTACACCAAACCCTTCGAGTCTCTCAGTCTTTGACACTAAAACTATCACACAAGGAAAACTGTCAAAACCAAAATTCCGCATTGCAACTTACCTAGTTGGGTTTTTTGTTTTGTTTTGTTTTTTTCTTTTTGCAGGGCATCACAGTACCAAAAACCCTTCATATCCTAACCACGTGGATAAGCAATAGTCAAATCTGGAAAACTACTATTTCTGAAGCAACATGTTGGTGCCATCATTAGTTGGAGTTCATTTGCAGGGATCAAAATACTTCTCCACTATGAAAATTAGAATTTCTGACTCTGGTGAATGCAAGATATCACATACCTGGCCATCATTTCCATGATGAATACAAGCTTTCCAAACCTTACATGGCAAAAGTGATAAAAAGCTGTCAATCTGGCATAAACCAGATTGGCAGATCTACCTGCATGTAATACATGGGTAGATATATACAGGTATCAATATAAACACTCTCACAACAGACACGGAAGCAACTATTCAACGTTACCTGCAACAACGAAAATGAAATGCTGTCTTTATGGTTTGTTGGATTCCATGACACATTGATCCTATCACCTGTATGATCATTCTTCAGTATCTTTAATTAGTGGGATTTAAATACCTAAGTAATGTTACTAGTGACTACCACCAATGCCAGCAACATCAAGAAGGACTTTTGGTCCACCTGCAGATGGATTTCCTTGCCTTAAGCTAACATAACTATACATATTAGATAAGCACTAATCATGTTTCAACTTTATTCCCTAGACACTCACGAATTACTGCTTTCCAAATTTTGGGGATTGTAGGGGGAGAGAGAAGAAGAAAGAGGGAAGGAAGACTTCAGGAAGAAATAAAACCTCACTCCTGTGTTACAGTTTATTTCACAATAAGCCAGAGATCCACATACAATATGGCTAAGCGCTTCAGGAGACAATAAAAGTTGTCCAGTGCAACACTTGCAAAGAATCACAAAAGCCAGTGCTTAATGTCATGATTAAGTATTTACAACACAAAAAAACCCCAAACCCCCAAAATACCCTCACTGTACCACCAGAGTTTACTGATACCTGCAACACGAGAAAGCAAGCCTTCTTTCTTCAGAGCGATCTGTGTCATGGAAAATAAAATATTCTGATTTCCCAAATACTCACGGGAAAAGTTTAGTAAGATTTTGACTGCAGTCATATTCCTGGCTGTGCAGGAATTTTTACATGAATTGTCC